CCACCCTGGCAGCACCCCAGCTGCTCTATTGCAGGCATCCCTGATTCAGAGGCTGCTGAAACTGACCAGCAGTGGCTGAATCAGGGACGCCTGGGGCAGAGCCAGACTATCAAAAGGGGAGGCTATGAGAGGTCTGGGGTGGCATCCCTTCCCACCCCACTCCAGATCCCTCATAGCCCCCCCTTCCAATAATCTGGCACCCCCTGGGCCCTAAAGGAGCCGGATTATCGGAAGTTTACTGTATAAGCCTAGAGAGTAGTCACTGTACTAGTAGGTCTCTGAATAATAATTTCTTGACCTTGATACCTTGGTACAAGGAACAAGCCACTTAAAGCCAATTTTTAAGTTGTGGGAAAATGTTTTAACTTAAAAGTTGGGAAAGTCAAGTTAGGCACATAAACCCACAGCTAGGACCCTAAAAGTGGCCTGAATTTCCAAAGCTAGGGAGTGTTCATAGCTCAGAGAACTTGCTATTATTATGAGATCTGCCAAGCAGCTGAGTGGAATTAATACTGAAACTGTAAAGGGGCACCATTAATCTCATGCTGTTGCTTGGAAAAGCATTGAGCAGAGGCAGCAGTGAAGTTATTGACTGGGCATCTCCTAACTAAGGGGGGGAAAAAAGAGGTCTTGCTTCCTTCTCACCCCACTCATTTGGAACAGACTGGGAAAGAGACCTGGCATGAGTGAAGAGGAGACAAAGCCCTTTCTCCCTTTTAGCACATGGATGAGGGGAAGCTAAGAGCCTGATACAAAAGATGGGAGTTCCCATGAGACGTCCAGGAAGCATGGTCAAGTAGGAATCCCAGCACCCTCTTGTATCCCAGAGGCTGGGCTTCTGGATATTGCCTCTGGACTTCACAAGTGCCCTTCCCACCACACCAATCTTTCTTGTATTAAGAGATACTGCAGCATATAGAACAATACCAGACTGTAATTAATGGATCTATTGACTATCCTTTACCTGTATACAATTTTTCAAGTTTTCCTTGGTTGGCTTCTCTTCTGCAAGTTTTGTGGCAAATTTGAGACCTCTCCCATACATTTTATTCGCCAGTGCATGCTTATAGGCAAATGTTAAAACCTACAGTACGTAAAAAAAAATAAAAAGTTAGAAACCTACCACTGTATTAAAACTAACATTGTTCAGGCAAACAAAAATTAAAGCAAACAAGTCAGAAGTCAAACATTTTGCCAAAGGGACTGTTTCAAATTTATTCACATGTTGATGGAGTACAGATAAATAGCAGCAGTTACTGCAGTCCTGTTTTAATTCCAAAATAAGAGTATGTGTGTGTCACTATCACAAACTTCAGGATTCGGAGGATCTCATTACTCAAACAGCTGTCTTCTGGATCACATTTATAGTTAGTTCAGATTTTTCAATATCTGGCTAAAATCAACAGTAATGTAAATAAATTCTAATAGCTAAGATACTTAGCTTGGAAAAAAGTAATGCCAGACTGGGGGATAAGAATTCCAGCAAGTGTTAAAATTACAACATAAACAAACAAAGATAGTGGATGGTGTATACACAGAGATATGTATACAATTATAAACAAGCAATGAAAACACATAAGCATGAAGATAGGCTTTGGTTTTTTGCTTCATACTTATTCCTCATGAGAATTTGCTTTCTAAGATATGAAAGCCAGAGTGTTTGTGGATTAACAGGGTTAATTAATGTATTTGTATCACTTAGCTTTTAGTCCCTTATCAATATTACAAATAATACGTGCCAGTGAACACACATGTCCACCACAGATATGTCAAACAACACAACAAAACTGGTCCTTAACAACCTAACAAAAATCAGCTATGAAGGTTCTGGTCATATCTCCTTGATACTTTAAAGAAATTAGTGAAGTGCCAACAGTGTGATGTTGGGGGGGAGGGGGAGAAGAGGGAGAGGAAGCCAGGGCTGGAGCACTAGTATAGGGTGGAGTGGGAGTCGGGGGAGAGAGCCCCAAGCCTTGGGGGCCAGATGTGGCCCTCAGGCCACAGGTTCCCCACCCCTAGTTTAGATAGTGATTGAATACAAGAGACTGGACATGATGACCTCTTTAGGTCCCATGCAGTTTTATTAATCTGTTTCTAAGTCTTTCATCTTTGATACAATCCACTACATCAGGATGGGGAGGGAGTCTGCACAGGAGAGATCTCAGGACTGGGATTAGGGATGTTAAAATGTAGTTCATCGACTATTCTACTAATCGATAAGCTCCTCCGCATTCCTCCTTTGAAGTGTACAAGAGCCCCCGGAGGCTCCGGGATGCACGCGGGCACCTGCTTTGAAATGTACAAGAGTCCCCAGCTGAGTTTAAACAGATATGAGGCATTCCCTCTGATTCAGCAGAGACCTTTGGTTCTGTGGGGAGCCTCTCACTGCTGACAGGTTGAAGAGATGCAGGTCTACCATTATCTCTACGTGGCAATCGCTGATATTTTTAGTAAGCATGTACAAACTTTTTTTTTTTTTTTTAATGTTTTCTCTGATGTTTTTCATCTTAAGAATGTATTTTTTTTCCTGTGAAGGCCTGCTGGCACCTGGTGTACATTGTCCTAGGACCTGCAGAAAGAGGAAAGTGGAGGTACTGCATACTGGTCAAACATGAGGGAAAATGATGGTGGGTGAAAAGTAGGCTGTGCAGCTTTAAAGTTCCAGTTAGGAGGGAGCAGAACACGAGTCTTTGTCCAGACACAGGTAACAGCTGGAGGCCTGAAAACTGACTAGGCACTCTAGGAGCAGCAAACAGAAGAAGATAAAAGTTCAGACTCTCATGACAATCAGCATGCCTTTAAAGGAAGGTGAAAGAAAGGGTCCAAGGATTTATAGAAGAGAACTACTTTGTGCTGATAATTAAATCAGAAAAGGTTATAAAAAAATGGACCTACCTAATTTTCCAATAGTATAAAGTTTCTGGTCCTGTAAAGATTCATTATGCCAAACTTTAGTGACCTCAGTAGTTCTATTGAAAGGTAACCACCTGCCTATATGGTGTATGTGTTTTTTTTCCAGGATCAGGGCTCCAGTGATTCAATTTAAGTAACAGTGAAAGAGGCTGAATAATCAGTAATGTTGAAATGGAAAAAGCTCTTAAAAGTGTACTATTCTTCAATATCTCAAAAGAATCAGTCACACTTCTCTCAC